TGAGCAGGGCTATCGGTTTAACGAGGCTTGGTGAAAGTTCCACTGCAAAAGAAACCTGGAAAATGCTGCTTAACTGTAAGACCGCTTCATTTTTCTTTCTACCAGAATCAAAAACTAAAGATTTGCCTTAGCTGTATCTCTGCCTTGTGTGTTTGATCTATGCAAACGGCGATTGAGAGCAATATTTCTCTACTTCCCTTCACTTGCATACAATAGTCAGAACATGGGAAATTTATTCCAAGTTGTGCCAGCATATCAAAGACACATCAAAGGCTAATTCCCAGATGTCGACCGTTTCCCATATATTTTGTCAACTCAGTTCTGTTTATCATGGCGATTCAATAGACAGTTTTCATTGCTCCAGGAAGATTATTACAAAAGTCTGGGGAAAGTATTTGCATTTTTCATCATATCCTACCAAATTTGACTTCTTTGCCATCTTTCAACTGCCCATCCCCGTGTGGGTACCAACAACTACTTGTGTTTAATACATCTCTCAAAATGAATTCTGACCAACACTGCTTCATTTCCCAAGTAATTTTTTTTTCAAGTATGAAACTCTGGACTGCAGAATATGGGAATACATTTCAGTAGTGCTTTCTATCAATATGATGTTTTCCTTAACTATTGTAATCGTGGGAGTAAGTTGTTATTAACAATATAGGTCTTAGTAGTGGGACAAAATGTGCATCAAATTATAGCCTGATATATGGAGTTACATGATCCTATGTATGACTTCATGAGAAAAGACACCTGTTACTCCTCTGCTACAAAAAAGCATGTAAGAGTTTTGTTATCAGAATTGTGTGAAAGGGAAGGTGTGATGCCTCTTTTTCCCTTTATACTTGCTCAAGGAAACTAGTACAGATCTTTCTATGGTCAATTTATATTCATGCAATCTAACGTGCTATGTAGAAGCTGTTGAATTCTCAGCTTGTAGCTAGCCTGTTTATTTTAATTTGGCTGACAATTTAAACACACCATAAAAGACAGGACGTTATCACTAACCTGTATGCATTAGTTCTGTAGCTGCTGTAGAGAGAAAAAAGGTAGGCCTCACTGTGGACTTCCAATACTTGAAGGGAGCATATAAACAGGAGGGGGTATGACTGTTTATGAGGATGGATAGTGATAGGACAAGGGGGAATGGTTTTAAGTTGAGACAGGGGAGGTTTAGGTTAGATATTAGGAGGACATTTTCCACACAGAGGGTGGTGACACACTGGAACAGGTTGCCCAAGGAGGCTGTGGATGCCCCATCCCTGGAGGCATTCAAGGCCAGGCTGGATGTGGCTCTGGGCAGCCTGGTCTGGTGGTTGGCGACCCTGCACATAGCAGGGGGGGTTGAAACTAGGTGATCTTTGAGGTCCTTTTCAACCCAGGCCATTCTACGATTCTTTGCTTTAATACAGACTGCAGATCCTTCAGAGAGGAGTGCAGCAAATCCTATAATGAGCAGTTCTTAACCGATTATGGGGATGCACCTTGCTGGCTCCTGTACAGGCTGACCTAGTCAGTTTGCTTACATTTAATTCCAAGGGGGATTTTTATAATCATGCTGTCCCTAAGTGCAGAGCAGATCAAATCCCACATCAGAATATCCCGAGCCAGTAGGCTCTGCCTGTGTCTCACAAGGCATTTCCGGGCCACAGGCAGTTTTCCCTAGGTGAGTGAGCTTGGATGCAATATTCTTTGACTGCAGCAACAAACCTAGCTGCAGTGGAGGTGCTCTGCCTTATTGGCCTGCGCCGGGAGAGGGAGCAGCGTGCTTTGCCACGCAGGGGGCGCGGTTTCTCTTTGCCACGTAACGGAGGGAAGGCTGCAGTCTGATGCCACGGAGGGATGTTTTGCTGCTCTGATGAGTCTGAGTCACTGCTGAATAACTGGAGCTTTTAGCTCGCCTGTTTGTAGAGCCTTTGTCTTTAAAGATGGGAAGCGTACTGTGTCAGCATGTTTGTTACATTTAAAGTTTTTAAAAGGGAACAAAATGGCACTATGAGGGGCAGATACAAGCTTTTGTGCAACTCCTCTTCCACAGTCTGAGCAAGAAGTAATGGAGAAGGATGATCAGTGTTGCAGTAACACACTGGTAGCTGGAATCAAACTGCAGTAGGCCTACTGGGCCATACCATAACGCGGACATATGAGGGAAAGACAGGCGAGTTTTGTGGGGACGTTACAATTTTTAAACAGATTCTTTACCTGTACGTGAAGGTTTATTGCGGTTTGCCTGTAGTGGAAGCCAGGGGTCGGCATTGCCGGCCGCCGTTGGGCGGCGCTGCGGGGCGGGAGGCGGAGGCGGTGAGGCGGGTGGGTGGGTGGGACCTCACTGTTGCACTGCTGCGGTACCGCGAGGTCGTGGCATCGTTGATCATCCCGGTGCCCTTTCTGGTTTCTGCTGGGGAGCTCAGGAGCTGGTGCTGCAGTCACTGCGAGCTCTGAAAATCGCACATCCCGGCTTCAGCCATTTTTTATGAGGCTCTCCCAGGCCTCACAGAAGTATGCTTTCTGTGCACGTGCTTATATATGACACACTTCTAATTCTGGTGCTGGGGGAGCGGAGGGGCAGCGCTGAGCTCTGCTCTGTGTGACAGCGACAGGGCCCGAGGGAACGGCATGGAGCTGCGTCAGGGGAGGGCAGCTGGGGTCAGGGAAAGGGGCTGCACCACAGGGCGGTGGGCGGGGAACGGGATGCACAGGGCTGTGGGCACGGCCACCAGTGCCAGAGTTCAGAGAGCATCTGGACAGAGCTCTCAGAAATAGGGTTTGATTTTGGGTGGTCCTGTGTGGAGCCTGGAGCTGGGCTCAGTGATCTTTATGGGTCCCTTCCCAAATCTACAATTGACATGCTTGATTCTACAATTAACATACTTCCTCTAGAGAGGAGAAACATCACTGTCATTCATATATTATATCACAACAGTATCTACCAATACTGAACAGATGCTGGGGAATTAAAAATAGACTTGGTATTATATAGAGCCAGCCTCCTTCAGTCACTCACTGAAGCTGGCCAGGGGGCTGTGCAATGTTGTAAAAATGTGCATGTTTTTTTTCCTACTGAGAAGCCAAACCTGAAGTGGAGAAAAGCAGAGAAGGCAGAGAGAGAGACAACTGAGACTAAAACTTGAGAAAGAATATAGGTCTACAGGTGTTTTATTTTTGTCCATACATACATAGGCAGACGTCAATGACAGGCAAACTCCCAATCAGCTGATTTGCAGCTGAATTGGGAACAGTGTCCCACTGGATGTTATTCAGACATAAAACAAAAGCATGGCTGCTGTCTGAATGCTGTTCAGTTAGACTGCAAAGCCAATAGGCAGTGAATGTTTGAGTCGAGCACAGATCAAGGCAGAGAGCATGTGGACAGAGCCAGGAATGCACAGGGGGCTTGCGCATCCAACAGCAGGAAAGGCAAGAGAGTCCAGAGCCTGTGGACCAACTCAGGAGGAATAAGCAGGCTCTTAGGAGAGTGCTAAATGTGAAATTATTGGTCCAGCTGTCTAAGAAGCTGGCTGCTAGTTTTGGCTAGGTCTCCTAAAAGCAGCTGGACTGTCTCCAGAAAACTGCTGAAAACAGCTAGTATTTAGGGCAGTTAATGAGCTAGCTTTGTAGAATTTTACAGGGAACTTCTCTTAAGAGTGATCAGACCTTCAAAGGATGCCTGCTGACAGTTTAAGACATTGGAATGGGAGAATGATGTAATGATCTGGTGGAGCAGAGATTTTCTGGCTCTTGCTTTGGAAGGCAGATAGGAGGTAGGCTATGAACAGCCATGAAACCAGTGTAAGCTGAGTGTATTTGTGCTGGTGGAGGAAAAAGGGCTAAGGGAAGAGGAAAAAGTCAGTAATGGACGAGAAGTAAGACCTGCAGTAGTGTTTGGGAGAGATGTATGAGGAACAGATTCTCCAATATGGACAAAAGGGAACAACAGTAATCATGGAGGGAGGTGATGTGAGTCCCTTTTAAGTCTTGGTTTGGTAAGTCAACTGGTTTGCAACTCAATCTGTATGCGAGCTAGCAGGCAGGTGGCATGGGTATCAGGAAGTTTGAGCTGGCTGGCAAGCACAGACCCTGAGCTAACCTGATGATATGGTGTGCTTGGTACCAGGTAAAGGGAAATTAAGATATGGACAAAGATAGGCACGTTGTTGCTGACTGATAAGTCAAAAGGAACAGCACCAGAGGGCTGAGGATCTGCATACTTAGAAACTGTAGTGACAGTATTTTGAGAGTCGCACCCAGTTAAAAGTAAGATCAGAGAAGGTTTAAGATGACAATTGGAAGCATCAGTAATAATATAAAATACCTTTTTTAGTAAGAGATGGAAGTGAAGGAGGGCTGGTAGTTATATTTGCAAGAGATTGTATTGATTTTTTTTTAAGATGAAAATATTCTGGAATTGGGTGGCAAAAGAGACAAACAGTGTGAGAGATTTGCTTTACAGCTTGTGTGGCATTTACAAGATAAGAAAAGGCAGTCCTGTGCAGTCTTACACACTGATACTTCCCTTGTCAAGTGTAAATACCTGATCAGCAGGTAAAGCAGCTAGCTTGAGCCCACAGAATTTGCTGATGAAGCTTTCTTTTGTTGTTACAACGTGCAAAAGCTGTCCCCTTTAGGTGGTGATGGACAGTGTTTTTGTGCATTGGTAGAGGGAGAAGGAAAGGCTTGAAACAAATTAGTGGCTGTGGGCATTGGCTAATAACATCTGTTACATCTGAAGAGGAAGTGGCAACCTGAATGGGTTACAGCTTGATCTCTGCAAATGACTTGAAGAATTTTCATAATTTTCCTGGATTTGGGGCTAGTTTCTGTTGCTTAAATAAATATAAGTATAGCTGATGGATTTTTCTAATAGTAAGCTGCCTGTATTGCCCTTGAGAAATGCAGCTTTTTTTTTTTTTTCAGCCTAATAGCTTGGTGTTGCTGTTTTCCCCATCCAGCTTCACAAGTGAACATTCATATGCACACCGTCATTGTCTGCATTGATTACCGCTGATCCCAGCCTCCTCCAGGGTTAAGATCCTCTCCCCAGACGTTGCTACAGGGAATGTATCTCCATCATTGGTAACCCATATCCTGATAACCATAACCAATATCACTCTGGAGTGGTTTAGAGCATACAGGCTCCTACAGAATCAGTACATAAAGCTCTCAAATAGGATATTGTCTTTTTGTGACATATCAGAAAAGGGCTCTGGTGAAGTCCTGTAAATACACTGATATATTGGCCTTCTTATGAAAAACTCAGATCGATGCTCATATCACTGTTGTTATTGTAGAGTAGAGCTGATGTTCAGAGCTGCTGCTTGGAGAAATGTTCACCACATACTGTAGGGCTGCTGGAAAGCCTCAGGCAGTGAGTGATGTGACTGACATCCCCAGCTGGTAACTTCATTAATTATGATGGCTTCTAGTTTGGTACCAGTTGAGCGTTGGACAGATTAATTCAAATAAAGGCATTGGGACATTTGTAAACAACAGTGAGTAACCTTAGGCAAGGTTCCCTGGCTATATTTACAACGTGGGTTTTGCTGGTCTCAGGGTATGAAATAGCAGTGAAAGGACTCACAGCTGCAGCAATACTGGTGGCAAAAACTGTGGTCTTTGGAGGTTTTCTGTAAACTGAAAGCAAAGCTGTAGTGGGTAACTGAGCATTAGTTACTACTCTATAAATAGTATTTGGTTGCTGCCTTTGTTGCTGCTTTTTACACACCTTTTTTATTATTTATTTTGGTTTGTAGAATTGAGTCTTTGCTGCTGAGTGCGTTGATTTGTGCACATGTGAGACAGATAACAGTGATGGAAGAGGATCCACATGTTTATTCAGCCATTTGCAGCACTGGTACGGTGAGAGTATTTTATGGACTTTTCACAGCTGAGAGGAACTTTCACTGTTTTGGAGCAGGAGGAAGCAGCTTATCACCTACAGGGCTCTTTATCTGTCTTCTGAGGGAGGTTACTCTAGAAGGTATTTCCTTGTTGTTTGGCAATCTTCTCTGATTATATCCTTGCTGCTATTTAAGAAAAGTTCAGATCTCAGAGAGCTTGTGTGAATTTGCCACCTGAAAACAGACTTGACCCATTGTCAGTTACCATAGATGAAAGGGAAGTATGAGAAAAAGGGCAAGAGGGTGGTAAAACCACAGCAGCAACCGTCTTCTCTAGCTGCTCATGAGAGCTTACCCAGCCCTAGGCTGACCTGCAGTGGTATTTACTTATGCTTTGTCTCTCTGGGACTGTGAGGTAGAAATCTCTTCGGTTTGGAGAAGTGGAAAGGCTGTTACATGAAACCAGACTTCTGCTCTGCTCTTCTGAACATCGATAGCACAGCGATGTATAAGTTGTTGCTGAGCAGTGCTTACACAGAGCCAGGGATGTTTGAGCTTCTGACACTGCCCTGCCAGCAAGGAGCTGGGATATGTAAGGAGCCAGGTGGGAATGCAGGCAGGACAGCTGACCCAGACTGCCCAAAGGGATGTCCTGGACCAGGCGGTGTTGTGCTGAACTACAAAACTGGGGGAGCTGGTGGGGGGCTGTTCAGGGACTGGCTGAGTATCAGTGAGTGGTGAGCAACTGCAATGTGTATCATTGATTTGTGTATTCTTTTATGATTATCATTATTATTTTCTCTTTCTTTTCTGTCCCATTAAACTATCTTTTTCTCAAACAACGGGTTTTACTTATTTTCCAATTCCCTCCCTTATCTCACTGAGGGAGAGTGAGCTGTATGGTGCTGAGCTTCCAGCCAGGTTAAACCACAATGGCACCAGATGACTTCCATGTGTTTTTTAAAAACATAGGAGCTCATAAATCTTCTATGTAGAATTTAAAGTAATAACAATTAAAAAAAAAAAAAAAAACAACAAAAATCCAAAAACACAGTAGTTAAATGTGGAGACAAATATTACTGGAGGGAAACAAAACAGTCTGGGCAATGCAGAGCTGCCTACAGCCCTGGTACATTTGTAGTGACAGGGGAGGTTGCAGCTGAATCACGTCCTGTAAGACATGTGCTGCACTGCTTGGAGTTTGGAGCAAGGCTCCCCGTGCCTTTCCCTGCACCTACAGTGGGCCTAAGCATTTGCAAAACCATCAGAAGCATTTTGAGAACTGGAGATTCTCCAGAGACTTGCAGAGTTGAGGAGCAAGATGAAGAGGGTGAGTGAAGCAGCAGTTGGTAGGAGAGAATGAATGGAGAGAAATCCGTGGTAGCTGAGCAAGCAGAGAGAGACCCATGCAGTGTCCAGGCAAAAGAGCACAAGTGGAAAGGGAGGGATGGACCTAGCAGAATTGCAGATCTGGTGCACAGCTGGAAGGCGTTTGTAAGCTTTCTGCAATTCTTACAATGCATTTCTACTCTGCTGCTATTAATTTCTGTTTGTCTGATCTGGCTTCTGTGTGGTGAATGTAAATGCGACCAGTGGCTTGCTAGGGTCTCTATCAAGTGCCAAAACAAATGTGTGCTTCATGACAAATAACTACACTGGCTTGCATCTGTGGAACTGTTGCTGTTGTATTCAGTCAGATGTGAGCATTTGATGCTGCAAACTCTTAGAACCATTAATATCTTAATATTTGCTACTAACAAACAGAAACCCACTGAAGGATGGAAAAATAAGAATAGTCAAAACAAATTTGTTAAGAATATTCCAAAATAGAGAATAAACCTGCAGAAGTGTTTGATAGTCAACTTTTTGGTTTTCTAATTTGATTTATCCTCTCACTTAAGGACTGAAATGCAGAAAGTCTCCACCCAGCAGACAAACTCGTACAGAAAAGAGGAAGCTCTATTTCACAACTAGCCTGGTTTCCCCCTGGGAGATGTGTGATGGTGAACAGGCAGAACAGTGTCTTTATTATAGGTTAAAATTTATGAAAACTTGGACTTCCTTTGCATGTGGGCAGCTTTGCAAGTATTTACCAGGGAAGCAAGGAAGATGAAACTCAGTGCATGCTGAGATTTCACATGTTAGCCAGAGATGACCAGGTGCCTTGCATCCTCCAGAACCCTTTCCAGTTTCCAAAATTAAGATGGGAAATAGGAGCTGATCAGCACTCCAGAGGATCAGGTTCCTTAACTATATTTAAGGTTATTGATTAATTAATCAAATTCTTTTTTTTTCAGATGGCTGCCTTTGGGAAGACAGACAAAATATTACATAAGAAGGAAAGTAAAAAAATGCTGACTGGGAGCCACAAGTGAGATCAATTTCTCTCTTCATCTGTTTGAATTGAACTGCTAATTCTTTCCATTAGATAAAGCTTTCCATTAGATAAAGTTGGTGTTCTAATCCAATACCAACTGGCTCTACTTGCCATCAGCAGAGCTTTTTTCATTTGAGTAGGGAATTTTCGTCGCTGGATGAAAGGACAGATCGGGCTTCAATCTTCTTCATAAACTTAGGTGCAGCTTGAATTCAATACTGCAAATCACAAGTCCTACACTCCTATCACTGCTGATTGTGTCTGGAGGGATAAGAGGTGTCATTTCTTTTACAGTCATCCCTACAGAAGAAGCAGAGATAAGACTGGAGGATACTATAGGGCAGCCTTAGTGAGGTAGCTACACCTAATGTTCAGACCCCACTAGAAATGAGGATGATTCTGAGGGTTTTCAAAGCCCCCCACAAGCATGGGCAGTGTCAGAGCTCTGCCTAAGCAATTCCAGTGACTCATTTACTTTGGCACCCAGCAAGTCAGCGATGTGGTACAGGTGTGGGAAGAGTTTTGGAGTGGCAATAGACCCTCATCAATGAGAGAGAGTTCTGTCAAGTCCTGACTTCTGCCTATGGCAGCCATCCCTCCTCCCTTGCACTGCCTCCCCCAGCTGTCCGCAGGAGCAACCTTGGGATGCCCCTGCCTTTCAGAGAATCTTGCTGCTGCTTCTTGCATCAAGGTCATGCACCTCGTAACATTGCTTAAACTGCTAAATACCACATTTCCTAAAGGCAAAAAACCACTTTCTGTTTTCAGAGCAGGCTCTTCAGAGCCAGGAATTTGACAGCGAAAGAAATCTGTTGATTGCAAAAACTACCCCTGCTGCTGCCCCTATGACAGGAAAACCCCAGACACCCAGAAAGAGGAAATTTTCAACAAGAAACGCAGCCTACAGCAGTGGTCAGATTCCAAGCAGTGTTACCTGGCCATAAAACTGGACTATCCTGTGGGCTCAGCAGTAGCCCGCTGTAGCACTAGCTCTCTCCTCAGGATGAGTGAAGAGCTCTGTATGTCCTGTGTGGGAAGCAGTAGTGTTGTCACAGCCATCACCATGTAAGAAATGGTTGGTTGGTTTCTTGTAGCCCATCAGTAATACCACAGATGAGGGGAACTTTTATAGATCAGGCAAGCCTTTAGAAGGAGGGCTTTACTCCTTTAAGCACCCTGGTAGACAGTAGCATTGATTTAAAACAGTACCATTATTCCATGCTTTGCTGAACAGTAGGGAGGTTTCAAACTAGTTTTTTCCTGATGTTTGTATTTCAGTGCAATTTCACTCACATATCATGAATTTAAAATAAACTTCATATTCAGATGATGACTGATAATGCATGTCTTATATTTTTGCAGCATTTACTAAAACAAAACTTAGAAGGAAATTGAGAAGCTTTCATCTGCTTGCTCTTTTGTGTGCTTTAGGAAGGCAGTGGTTTAATAATAAGCACAGGATTCCTCTTTCTGAGTTTGAAGGGACAAACGATCCCTGGTATATGCATGCAGCAGGTTTGGGAGTGTCATTAGAACTGGCTACAAAAAGAAAGATCCCCAGAGTCGTAAGAATTCTGATGATATTTTCATTAAAATCAAAGCCAAATATTTCAGTGCTCCCTGTGCAGCATGAGATCCTTATCATTTCAGTAGCAATTCATTTTATTCCAACAAAGAAGCTTCTTTAATTCCGCTTAAGCTCTGTTCTCATTTAATAAGTGGGTTGCAAACAGAATTATGTAGATTTAAACATGGCCCCTTTGAGGGAAAGAACTGAAAATTTCCCCAAGGGTTGATCTGTACTAGCGTTTACCAGCTGTGACTTCCTGCCTTTCAGATGTGTCATATGGCAGTTTCCTACTCACATATAACCAAATGGTAATCTGTCCTTCTGAGGTAGCACATAGTGCTTAGATAACATTTACAAATGGTTTAAAGGGAGAACACATCAGGTCTTGCAAGATGGAGGTGTAAAATATGCAACCAGACAGCTGCACAAACTTGTCTGCAAACTTGACTGCAGCTGTGGCATGTTGGCAGTGGTGCTCTGACATCCAGGTGGCTCCTTTTCAGTACTCTGCTTTCCTAAAGAGAACTGGCTGCTTTTCAGCTGCTCGCACTACCTCCTCAACAGGGTGGTTAGGCTTGTCTTTGGAAACCCGAGAGTTGCTTGTGTTCAAAGCAGATTTCCTGTATTAAGGAGAAATCTTTCCCCTTCACCCTTTCCTAAATTCCTATTTTGAAGTACTCTCGATAGCCAGCGTAAGCTGTGTGTAAGTAGCAAGCATTACACCAGAATGCTATCTTGTTTAATAGCATTAAGCTTTATCAATGTGAATTGGATCCCAAATGCATATGGCTGCCTAGAACCTTCAGCAGTCATTATGAATAACAGGAGGATAAAGGCAGTTATTTGAGAGGAAATCCCCTTATGAAGACAAATAGGTTTCGGCTAAATTGTCAGCATGTGGGGGGCAGTGCAAACTTTCCTAAGGTGAAACTTGATTCTTACTCTACCACAGCATCAAAATAACTCCAAAGAAGCAATGGGATATGTGTTAGTGTAGCTGAGTCAGAAGCTGGGCTATCCTTCCCAGACTCCAATCAGAAAGAGATCAATGTTCAGACTTTGTAATGAATGACTGCCACGTGTCTGGGAGTTAGAAGTTTTCCTTGTTAAAAATGAAGTGTACTCCTCGTGGGTCAGCTTCTGAGTTGCTGATGCTCTGCTTGCTGAGTGTGTCAGCGAGGCCTTCAGGTCCACAGAGAAAAACACCTATTCTGGAACTGTTAAGAAAATAGAAACATGGTCAGGAACTAGACATAGAGTAGCTGGATGTTCATGTAAATCAATCTTACGTTCTCTAGCAGCAAGTATTTTTTCTCACCTACAGAAACTAAAGCAGAACAGCATGTCTGTCTTTTAAAACTTATCACCCCTTCAAACTTGCGAGATATTTACTGCCACTTCTGAACCAGGTGGTGAGTTAAATCTCAGCTCAGCAGAAGTCAGCGAAGACAATTTTATTGACCTCACTGGAATCAGTGAAGTAAAGCCTCAAAGAGTTTATGGCAAAAAGTTTTGAAAGGAACTAATCAGTTTTTTTTTACAGATGACAGCTAAAGGTCATCTGTACCCAGGTGCTGTTTTTTGTTTTGTTTTGTTTTGTTTTTGAGGTAGAAGGTGTTATTTTTAGAAGTGTTTAGAAGTTGAGTGACATTCCTATCTACTTCAACTTGAAAGATGAGATATATTTTTCCTAAAACATCTGCTAGTAATTAGACACTGCATCAAGTGTCTCAAGTGTCCACATACGGATGATCTTTTTTTTAAACTGCAGGTTAAAGTAAATTGGTCAAGACCCGATGGGATGAAACCCTACATCAAGACCATGGCTGAAACCAGATAGAAAATACCTGAAGACTGTTATTAAAATATCATCAACATTATCAGTCAAAGGAACAAGATTGTGCTGTTATGGCAGTTAAATAGAGGACGTTCACAGACACTTTCAATTGTACAAGATTACCCCGGATGCTGCCTCGCAATGGTTTTGAACTCATTTTCCCAGTTAGGTCTTCCATACAATGTTTTCTGTTTAAGGCCTGTAATCACATCCTTCTCCTCTTCATGATGCATTACAAAATGAGTGGCCTGTGAAAAAAGAAAGACAAAGGATAGTGTCATGACAATATGCATCAAATTATTTGCATTCCGAAAACATTCCTGTAGAATTTATGGTATTTAGAAAGGAAAATTAACACAAGTCCTGACCAGCAGTGTCCATCTCTCTCTTACCCCCAGTCTGGGTTATCTCAAGAACTGAACACTTTGAACACATAACAATTATGTTCCTTTTTCAATGAACTGTTTTAGTCCTGTAAGAACTGTAAAATAAAGCTGCAAATTAAAACAACTCTTTCCCTTCCCTTACAGTAATACAACTCCTATGACCTTAATGAAGTTCTGCCAGTTTGATCTCTAGAAGGCCTGATCCATATGAGGATGTTTTGTCTACTCTCTCTATGTAAATTTCACTTAGAATCATCTAGGAGGAAATAGAAGACAGTTTTAGGGCTAAGGTTGAGCCCTTGCTGAGTTCTGAAGCCAAAAAACTTAGAACTTTCTCCAAAAGCAAGAATTGCATGACTTTTCTTCTTTCCTTCATGTTTTTTTCACTGTATGTGTGAGGTAACTTCCTACCTTACTGCTACTCTATCCCTGTAGTTGAGCTACAGCACTTAGACACACAGTGAATTTTTCAAACGCGAGATATAAGTGACATAAAGCACCACTAAAAGTACCAGAGTGAGCACCTTTCCTTACTGAGTCACATTCTCTACTGAGTCATGGAAGAGCTGTTCCTTCATCACTCTTCTCCAACCCATAATCATGGGATCAGACAGAGAACTCATGAATGTTCTGAAACAAATATGCTGCTATCACTCAAACTTTTTGCATTAGCTTCCCCAAAATGGCATTTTCTGTAAGCAGTAACAACTGCATTAGATACACCTGCAGGGCGAGCTGAGGTTGATGCTGTGAGGAAATACCACTTCCCAGCGTGCACAGCCAGAGTGAAAAAAAAGAGAAAGTCAGTGCACATCAGCAGCTAATCTCATGTAAGTTCTAGTGAGTAGTAATTATCTGCACTTAAAACCCCAGAGAGCCATGTGGACGTCCAGAATAATGACCATATGAACATTTATCAAAACATAACACACTTGCTAACATCAGCCTGGGGGCACAAGGTGATTATTTTCCATAGTGTTGTTACCTGAGTTTCATCCCAGCCAGTAAGGTAGATGTTATAGCTGAGAAACTCTGCATTATTCCTCTCCTGCATTTGAGTCTCCAGAGACTGCAAGAGGTCAGCAAACCATTCAAAGGCATGAGTGTCCCTGCAAAGCCAGTAAAAATAGATCTGGAAGAGAGAAGCGAGAACTGTCAGGGGACATAGGTACTTAGGTTTCTGGGTTTCTGTTTGCTGACTAAAGAAGGACTATGGAGTTCTTGAAGATATTGCTCTGACTAATTCAGTAAATGGGTAAGCTGGTGCTGAAGCTATTCAGGAGTTTGGATTGAGAAGGTGAGAAGGTTGTGAAGCAGAACAAGGAAATATCTTTCTCTTCTGCTGGTGGTTCACATTTGTAGTTGGGGATGTTTTCACCAGTTTTATCCCTGTGAAACAGTTTGTTAGCACATAAAATAATGACTTTGGTAGATTCTATCTCCCATCTGCTAGCAGGGAAGGTAAATTAAAGCAAGTAGCAAAACCAGTTCTGTCCACTGAATACAAATGTAACTGCAGTGTGACCCCACACCTCTGCACAGGGACTTTCCAGGGAGGTGAAAGGAGGATGGTAGCATTGTGCTACCACTGACTCAGTTACTCTCTCTGTTCTTAGGGAAGGTATGTTTGCACAATGTTTGCACGAGCTGCAGTTAGTGCCTGTGAATTAATGGCATGTCTTGTTTGTCTTGCATGGCTTGAATGGCACTTCCAACACAGGTGGAAATCCCCAGGACAACAGCCAGGCTTTGGGTGCTGAATTTTGCTCCTAGGGTATTTCCTTCCGTCTTTCTCTTCTCTTTTATTTTTGCAGTTTTGATCCTCCAGCTTCCATGATCACTTTTCTGGGACTGCTTTGATTTTGACCGTTGGTCCTCCAACAACTAAATGGGTTCTGGGAAATCTCTATGACAAAGAGGGCACGTACCTTCTTAAGTTTTAGGTTGGTTGCATCGTGGCAGTATTTGTACCAGACAGACTTGAGCACAGAAGCGAATGGCGTTACCCCTATCCCGGCTCCAACCAGCATAACAGTTTCATAACTGAACACATCCTCACTAGCGGTTCCAAAGGGGCCATCTACAGCTATCCTGAAATCAAAAGTACATTGAAGAAATAGTGGATATTTATTAGCATCATTTAAAACAACAGAAAGGTGAAATATTTGCCTGTTGCACCAGGAAGTAAAAGAAAAGGTGGAATTGGTAGAGGAGGGAACCGACGTGAGCAGTCTAAGACCAACATCCATGACAGAAGTTGTTAAGGATTGTATCACAGATGCCACCAGCCAGGTTGAACAAAATTTCAGCTGCCCTAGATTTTGGTTGACTTTACAATGCTTGACTCCGTACATACTTGGGCAACTTCCATGCTTCCTGGAATTCCTGCTTATCACATCCACAGGCATTGAACAAGCCCTCTGTCCAGTCTCCTACAATACGGACATGAATGCTGAAGTAATCCTCTTCTGGGGCAGAGGTTAATGTGAATGGATGCCATTCCAGTTTAGACACTGCTGGACATTTGACAAAAATGTATTGCCCGACCTCCATCTTGAAACCCTTCTTCATCATCTGGAGCTCAACTGTCTTGAAGGGATGAATCACCACCTACAGTAAGAGGGACAAGGAGAAAAAAAGGCAGAAGTAAAAGGGTATCTTCCCTGTTCACTGGTTTTGTCTACATTTTTCATCGCTAGCATTGCCCTCTCCTACAAGAGCAGGAAAAGCAGATGAAATGTTCCCAGCAGAATGGGGAGTAAGGAGCAGTGCCTGACAGCCAGGTGAAAGACTGCAGAAGATGCTAAATTTTTGGCTAAAGTACTTTTTTGCACCATTCTTGTGGTCACTCCAAAAGGGACAGGTCAGAGTGGGGACTATTCAGGCTGGAGAAGGGGAGACTGAGAGGGGATCTTGCCAGTGCTTACAAATATCTAAAGGGTGGGTGTCAAGAAGATGGGGCCAGGCTCTTTTTGGTGGTGCCCTGTGACATGACTGCCCAGAGAGGCTGCGAAGTCTGGAAATATCAAAAAACCACCTGAATGCTTTCCTGTGCAACCTACTTTAAGAAACCTGCTTTGGCAGGGCAGGTGGGCTACAGGATCTCTGGAGGTCCCTTGCAACCCTGACAATTCTGTGATTCTGTGCCAGGAAATGTGGAATATTTACATTGCTATAATTTATGCAGATACGTAGAAAATGAATTTATCTTCTCCACAATTCAGTATTGTACTTAGCTAACTTTTCCTTCCTGCACTCTTTTGGAGACAGGCTTAGAAACAACTACACTTGGATGTTAGAGAGTAGTACTTTTTTTTGCCTGTTAGAAACCATGACTTTCTTGAGACGTCTTTATTTGAAAACACTGTATGACATGTAGGAACCCTGGTTTTGCTGCACCATCTAGAAAAACTGCTAGTGTTTAGCCCAGAGTTGAGCACAGCAACAACACATACCTTTGTGATAACAACCTTCTGCTGTGATCTCCAAAACCGCACCAGCCTCTCACAGAGGTACAAAAACATGGGACCTACTACCCATTTCCATGTCTGTTAACAGAATAAAATGGGAAGTTAAATTACAAAGATGGCAACTGAGATTACACTGAATTCCGGATACACTACAAACAGATGTTAAATTCAAGTTACATGTTATTTATCAACCAGAGTAAGGAACAGTTAAAATACGTGACACCTTCAAACTGAGTTCTGTTCAGAGGGGGAATTTCTTTCCTTGTTTCCTTGTTGTATTTGCATTTTTAGTTGTTACTATAGGTATGAAATGGTAATTTCCTATGAATGATTTTGTCTCCACCTGAGTCTGGACATTAATTTTCTGTTAATGATCATCAGGCTATTAATAATGTGAAACTACTATGTAGATTATAGCACTTTTTGGAACCCCCATGATATGAAATACACTTTGGTAAACAGTTCTCAGATTTACTCATCTGTTTTGCCCGTTAGTTGTGCTGTTGTTACGAGGCACTGGAAGTGGATTGTCTGTAGTCCATTTTGGGTTGTAATCCATTATGTGGAAATCTTGCTTAATGTAAAGAAAACTACTTTGTGCAGCAGGTTTATACACTATTTAACAAAAAGAGTAAACAGTCGTTTTTTTTGTACTGGATTTTTTCTTACCATAGGAGGATTCCCTGCAAACTGGGGGACAGGGCAAGCTCCTTTCTTTCCCCAGTCAGTGAAATTCTTAGAGCACATCTCTGGAATATGTTCAGCCAGACTCACAGCTGTCTGTCCCCGCACAATGCGCCTGAAAAAATGCAAAACATAAAGGGAGTAAGATGGGAATTAAGGAATATCTGTCACTTACTGTTATTCTGTGTATTCTTTTTCTGCATAGTTACTGACTCCTGCAGTGCTACTGCACCTTTTGATTCCTCTGTATGGCTCTGATCTATCCAAAACATTGTAGGGGGAAATACTGACTACGAGATCAGGTGAGGAACTGTGAGGTAAATTTATTATCGCTTCCAGAGTGTAATTAACACTAGGAAAACTCAATTCTTTTCAAAAAAAACCCTACTTTTTCCTTCAATAGGAAAAGTGAAACATGGAGTGGGCTCAATAATCAATAATAAAGTTTCCTATTGATCACTGCAGCAATTATTCCTGTTATTTTTCTTAAAAATCAAGGACAGCCTTTTCCGAAGAACACTATTCCTTAGGTAATTTCTCTCTCTTTACAACTGCAGAGTAGATTTTTAGTTGATGTGATGGAAACAGGTTCCTCTAGCTCAAAGTAGCTATGTTGGCTAAGCAAGCTGATGTTAGTTGATAATCTAGACTCAACATTCTAACGTGAGCTTTGCTTGTTTTGTTTTGTTCATTTATTTTATTATAGAGAAGCCTGATTGCTCCAGTTCAGCAGAACTGATGCTGGAAAAAGAATTCAGTTTTGAGAAGTAAAAGTATATTTTGATCGTGTTCACCATTTCCTGCACCTGTGTGAAGTTCTACCATCCTCAGGGCCACATCTGAGCCCCTCATATGATGGCAATTAGTAGGTTAAGATCTAATGACTTTCCATAGAAATGGTCTGATTCTGATCAGACTGTTTGGTTTTATG